ACACGCGGCTTAAATAGAAATAAAAATAATAAAAAACCTCTCTTCGTATGTATGTGGTTTAAATAATCTTTAAGATAAAATCAATGTTCTTGATAATGAAAACGTGATTTTCCGAAGAAGTCTTATTTATTTGTTATCTCCTCGTTTAATTATGCCATTGGATGAATGAATGAATGATTAATTAATTCATTGTGACCACGAAAAATTATATTTTCAAGAAACTGATCAAGATAAATTTGTGCAAAGCTCTTTATGTTCGATCATATGTTAAATTAACTAGAGGATCTCACATCTTTAAAAAAATTGTGAAAGGCGAGAATATAATTGAAATCTGTCGCCGTTGAGAAATGTGTAGGCTTCCAATGCAAACTGTCAACACCTCGCCCCGGGTAACATCCAACCTCTGTTATTTTGGGCGCCTAAAATTAGTATTGCAGATGATTCCTTAAAACAGTTAGGGTAGGGTTTGTCTTCAAATTTATTGAATTTGCAAAAGGTCTTTTCATTTCTGGACAATTCTCAAATTATATTTGATGTCATTTAAAGATTGACAGGGATTCAAGGAAGAGAAGACAATCTATTTATTTTTTAAAAAACGATCATGTTTATTTCCGATCTGCTTTTTGTCGGAAGTAAGTTCCACCACTTTCCCTTGAACGTCAGTTATCCGTCGAAAAGAGCGATCTGATTACACTTAATTTCTTTACAAGGTGTTTGTAAATCATTATCAAAAATAATTATAGAAATATCTTTGATAAGAATACACGTCTCAATTTATTAACAGGTAAAATTAACTAGCAATAAATAAATAACTAACTATTTAGTTCTTTCGATTATCCAATCAAATGGTTAAACATCAAATTTAAAATTTTTAAATAGACGTGGTGGACACACTCGATTTTCGTAACGGTAATGTAGATGTGGGCACATTTGTTTTCCACCGAACCAAACAGAATCGTTCACGCCATACCGCCAAGCTCCTTTTCCAACTCATCTACTTCCATATCTTCTGAAGGAACAATTGCATGCTGACTAGCTGCACCATATTCGTGCATTGAATTACGATTATTCTGTTGCTGGGATTGGTTTATCGCGTCACGATCGGGGGCCGACAAACTTTATTATTATTGTTATATTATCAGAATTCCGTAAAAATGGACGACAAAGATTTTTCCATAAAAAAAAAAAAAAAAAGAAAAAAAAGAAAAGATTTCATATGGATCACCTTGCTTTGCGTCCTGCCTGATAACCGTTTAACATTGAAGCTTGTTTAGAAGCTTTGAAGCTCATTACCTCTTGAGCGATCATTTCTGGTATATTTATAAACGGGTGAGAAAATATATGCACACATACAGTATATATATTTCTCAATTTGATAACTTGAAATAATCAACTCACTCTTCATATCTTCTATTTTATTAACACTCTCAAAAGAAAAATCAAATACGTGCTCATGCGATGGCTTGGAGAATGCAAATTCATATTAGTTATCGGGAATTGCTGATTTCTCGAAAAAACGCCATGCTAATGCCAACCTCATCCTCTTCATCATGATATGCAGCCAGGTATGGATGTGCTAATGCTTGTTCAACAGTAATTCTTGTGGCAGGATCAAATTTGAGGAGTTTTTCCAGTAAATCAAGGGCTAAAGTATGTGGATTGATTAATCGTAAGAAAAAAAAACGGTAGCGTCGACAAAATCGACCCGAAAAAAGAAACCATGCTCACCAAGTGGATTGGCTTTGGGGTAAAGCTGTGAAAAGGTTTTTTTTGGCATTTTTTGCAGACTACGAATATATATCTGAGCCTGTGGTACGTGATGAATAAAGTTAAAGTCCATCCGCAAGAATTCCGGTCGATCCAAGAGTATTAAATTTATTTACCCTCTCACTTCCAACCCTTCTTAGAGTCTCTTCATCAGGAGTACCCAAAATTCCCAATATTTGATTCAGCTGATCAACATAATCTCGTCCTTTAAATAGAGGCTTACCACCAAGCATCTCAGCAAAGATACAACCAACGGACCACATGTCAACTTTGATAAAGATTGTGTCAGTGAAAGTCTTATTGTTTTTCTTCGAGAACCAAGGGTAATCGATAAGATCACATACTGGCTTTAGTGTAACTTTGAAAGCTCAACATGATTTCTGGTGCTCGATACCATCGGGTAGCAACGTACTCAGTCATGAAACCAGCATTGTGTTCAGGTGAATCGGAGAACCCTCGAGCGAGACCAAAATCGCAAATCTAATAGTCAGATATAATTAACTTGAACCCCATATAACCCAAACCTTTTCGTCCAATAATTTACCTTCAGTTCACAATCCGCATTTACCAATAAATTACCTAACAACCATACGCCCGAGTTATAATGAGAATTGATGGAACAGAATCCGATACATAATTCACGTGATGTAATTTAAGCATACCAGGTTTCAAATCCCTGTGCAAAACATTGGCCGAATGAATATATTTTAAACCTCGGCAAATTTGGTATATGAAGTATTGGAAATGTGCATCGGTCAATGGTTGCTCCGAGCGTATAATCTGGTGAAGATCCGCCTCCATGAGTTCTTGGAACAGATAACTGCGTATAGTTGACGTGATGTTATAAATTAGAAAATTCGTGATCTTTAAATCGGTGATTTTTTTTTTTTTTTTTGATCATGTACTGTATACGCTACATTTCATTAAAATCGTGGACATTTGGTATGTCCATATCTAATATTGACGTGATCTAACCAAATTTAGAGAGAAATTCGAGAAAAAAAAATCAGAAACAAGTCTAATGTCGTGAACGGTAAATTATCGAATTGCGGGAATTTAGTTCGAAAAAAAACCTTGTATAAAAAACAAACTGACGTTTTCATGACCACTGAAATGCCTCAGTAGTTTCACCTCTCGTAAGGCGCGTTTAGCCAAAATATTCTTTTCAAAAATCTTGGTGACTTTTTTGATAGCACAATGTTCCCCCGTCTCGGTATTTTTGGCTGCGCTATTGTTTTTTCAGTAACAAATTAGAATGGCAAGGTGTACAGAAATTAGGCGAGCAGAAAGAATAAAATGTGTCAAACTATTTTCCGTGTTTCGAACGGCCTCGAGAAGATTTTCTAAATGGAAATACCAAACAACACCATAAGCCCCTTGTCCTAGTTCGCGTATGAATTCGAATTTAGAATCCACAAGGAACTGTTGATTGAGCACGGGGAAAGAATGATACGGCATTTTTTTTTTTTTTTTAGGCGGCTCTGTTGTAGTATTCGTGGTAGTAGTAATTGTCAAAGATAACCTAATCCACACCATCAAGCATTTCGCTCATATCTATCCTTTTCTATGGAAAGAAAATTGTACCTGATTTGGGTGGTGTTACTGCAGTGCTATCGGTTATGTGCATGGCAAGCCATTGGACTAGTTGTCTTTGATAAGTCGATCTTTCCGTAGCTAACAAGAGAACCGGTTACAAACAGGCCCAAATCACGTGTCGAGAGTATAAAACTGATCGCCTTTACTTTTCCATTCCATCGCCATTTTAGAAGACAATATCATTTTGGCATTCAAGATTTAATCGACTTTAAAACATCCGAGATTTACTATACAAAAATGGAATATATACCTTATTAATAATGATAGCAATAAGCAGTTAATTTTTAGAGTAGACAATATAATAAGAAATCTAATATATTAATGTAAAAAATAATAATATATGAAAACCTAATAAAGTTTCTTAATATAAAAATAAAAATATGCTTTTTTGAATTATTAACAGTCTATTTTTTAAATACAATATTAAATTCTTTAAAATCATTTATTTATATTTATTTTTATTTTTTTTAATAATAATCTATTAGATCAAGCTAATAATATACATTTATTATATCAATAAACTATTTATAAAATATATTTGATTATTATATGCAATATACAGTTGCTTCTATAATTTTGAGTTCACTTACTATATTTTTATTATAAATTTCAACTTTGACAATTTTTAAATCCTTAATTATATAATCAAAAATTTTAAAATCCACATATACTATATCTTAATACTAGTTTTATTTTTTTCAAAAATTTTTAATATGTAATTTTTAAAGTTCTATTATTATTAAGTATTTTTTTCTTTATCAAACTTTTACTTTTGAAGGATTTTGATTGGCTGTTATTATGAATTATATAATAATTAATTAAAAAAAAATATTTAGCAATAATAAAACTTCAAAATAATTAATAAAAATTTTTTAAAAAAAAATATAAAAAATAGAATAAGTATTAAGATATAATATATATAAATTTTATAATTTTTGATTGTATAATTAATGGTTTAAAAATTGTTGAAGTTAAAATTTATAATAAAAATATAGTAAATGAACTCAAAATTTTAGAAGCAACTGTATTATATTTTACTATTAACTTTATTTCTTATATATTTTTAAAAAATTTTCATATATAATTTTTGAAGTTTTGTTATAACCAAAAAAATTTTTTTATTAATTTTTACTTTCAAATAATTTTAATTAATCTTTACTATATTATATAATAATTAATAAAGAGATAAAAATTTTAACAAAAATAAAATTTTAAAAATTATTTATAATAATTTTTTAAAAATAATATAAAAATAAAATAAATATTAAAATATAATTTATATAAATTTTTTAACACTCTTCCTGCTGATCCTCTGACCATACACAAAAAAGACGTTCGCAAAAAAGTTTAATACTTTCTTGCTAATAAAGTCTTATCACTCTCCTTAAACCACTCTGGAAAATACTTCAAAAGTCATCTCAATCCCCTCCCTCTTGTCTACATCCTCTTCAAACAAAAACCTGACTACTAGTGATCTAAATAGTCATGAAATATCTTTTCTACCAACAGCAAGAAAGTTTTGAAAGGAAGAAGAACTGATAGTCTGCCACCCCTTTACACATAGTTAAATATTACAGAGCTTTGTTAGTAATGAGAGAACTATTATGAACACACTCCATCCACTCTCTTCGTCATTTGTTAGGCTCTAATAGTGCTCTTTCTTGGTTTTTTCTAGGAGATTTTGCCTATCTCAGTTTGATCCTGAATTTTAAGTAGCATAAAGTTTCTCATGTGCTGATTGGTTCAGCAGAATCATGTCAGTAAAAGAATGTAAACAAGCTCCTATT